ATGTTGCTGAATTGGCACGTTTATAGAATGTGTAACAATACTCGCTATCTATCATGCGAAACCAGTAGCGCTGCTGTTCACAGTGCGTGTTTTCCGCTAAATAAATTGCGCGCATAATAGTATAAAACGGGCAACTTGGTATATCTGTTCATTATATTTTGTGAGAAACGACTGCAAATTTGGAAGTTTCCGTTGTTTACACTGAACGTATCAAACGGACAACGTGGAAGTTAATGTCATTTCCGTTTGGACGTTTATGCAACGGATTTTCGAACGCAGATTTTCGTCGATATAAATGGCGTTTTCGTAGAATACAAGATCGAATACAAGTGTACAAACTTCGCTCCAAAAACGAATCTCTCATATTTCATTAAGTTAGCCAAATGTTACGCAATACTTCTAAACACTACTTGTACGGCACTGATACGATAGGTTGGTAATTTGTTCTGAAATAGCATTTAAATGAATAACTTCCATTGCTTCAATACACAATATTGTAATGAAAAGTTTTGTAATCACGAATGGATATATATTATAATAAGATATACGGATAAATAAAAACTCATTAATAAACATATCAACAAGTTCATTCAACATTTTCTTCTTCTGGTTGGTATCAGTGAATAATATCGCAACCTTTTCCAGTACCAATTACACCATCACAATTAGTTTCTTGACCAGGTTTTATATATTTAGCTTCTGACCATTACCACTATCACTACTATTTACCATACTGTTACCATGTCCATTGGTTTTACCATTACCATTGATATTACTAACACTATTAATATGAACATTACCAGTGATACCATTACCATTTGATACAGTCCAATATTTACCACCTCCTATACTATGATCACCATCTTTACTGATAACTAATGCCTTTTCATAGATCTCTAGAAATCCATTAGGCCTATTTCGAATACTTTTCACAAAAACAGATTAATCTTTTCTGAATTTCGCACTTTGATAATGGTTTCGTTTATGACGAAATTGATTTCTCACTAAATGTCTGGGTTTAATAAATCTCATCTCGTTTTTAGTCTTCTCTGTAAACATATTTCTTCTGGAATTCTACTAGTAATACTATGTGCTGCCCAGATTGATTTAAATCATCATCATTCTTTTCAATAGACGATTTGAATTTCTCCACAAATCTCTCTGCTTCACCATTGGTTGCAGGATGATTTGGAGCGGAATTGGATGCCTATTAACATTGACCTTTGTGAGTAACAGTATATTAATAACAGGTCACCCATATGCTGAAAATATATGCCACAATACATCAATAGGTCTCTTAGAAGTTATTGAAGGCATAGGAAGTACATCTGGCCAATTTGTACATGCATCAACCATGATCATGAACATATTACTCATAAATGGACCAGCCGAATCTAAATGTGCCTTTTGCCAGACACACTGGTTGGCCAACTCCATGAATGCAAAGGTTGGTCATTCGTCACTTTGGCAATAATAACAATTCTTCGCCAAATCTTCAACATTACCATCAATTCCATGAATAAATGCAATAGATTTTATCTTTAATGTTTCTAGATGTTCCTGGTGAAATTGTTCTTCTGTCCTGCAATTTAAGGGGAATTATTACTCTCATTTGCCACAATAAACAGCCCTCGTCATTTAGTGCTTGTCTTCCACGAACGAAAAAACGAAATTCTTCACATACCTTCCTAGATCAACCATGCTGTGAAAAATACATCACTTTCAACAGGATCGGATTTGATGGGCATTACAAATTACAATAAAAAACAAGCGAATGTATTATGTATAATTTCAGGTTATTATCACAAAATAGTTATATGAAGAATTCTTTGGATTGCAACAATGGGGTGTAAGGTAGTGCAATAGTTTCAATCCACCAGCATACCAGATTGTTGACAAGCCACAGAAAAAAATATTCTATATTTCTGGCGAGTACCCTGTTCTATCGCTCGTACGGACACCCGTCATGGACTTGGTCAGGATTCCCACGGGTGGCGCTTGTATTGAAAACAATATCAAGTGTATCTTCACATTGCTAGCTACAAGCGTGGTTTCAAAACAATATCCGTGTAGCTTTTAGCAAGTATGTGTTATATGGGCAGCTGACAGTGTTGACACCACTTGTAACAATATAATTCTTAAAACATTATCACCTGCAACAAATTTACCCACGATGTGGAGGTGCTAAAATTATTTTTGTATTTTTATTCAATGTATTTTATTCAATGTATTTCGAGAAACTTATGCTGGTGTATTGAATCACTTTCCTATATAAAAGGTGTTC